TAGAGACGGGGTTTCACCGTGTTAGCCAGGACGGTCTCGATCTCCTGACCTCGTGATCCACCCGTCTCGGCCTCCCAAAGTGCTGGGATTACAGGAGAATCTCTAAATCTTAAACTACCATAATGTTTTCCATCTTTTCAAGCAATTTTGGTTATCCAGGTTACTTGGAAGATTTTAAAATTCAGAAATCAAATTATATGCAATCCGGGACTCTAAGGTCGGAACAAGACAGAATCCTGCCTCAGCCTCCCAAGCTGCTGGGAGTACAGGAGTGTGCCACCGTACCTGGTGAATTTTGATATTTTTTTGTAGAGTCAGGGGCTTGCTCTGTTGCCCAGGCTGGTCTCAGACTCCTGGGCACAAGTGATCCTTCTGCCGTGGCCTCCCAGAGTTCTGGGCTTACAGCTGTGAGCCACTGCACCTGGCGGCAACATTGTCTTACGTTCGTTCATGAACTCTCAACTAGACACCTACAAGCTGGAGGACAGTAAGTCACGGCTGCCACATGCAACAATCAGATGAAATGGTACTGGAAGAGATGCCACGTGGGTCAAGGGGGTCCTCGACAGGAGAAAGGGCAGGAGCCACAGGCTTGGTGAATGGCACACCAGACTTAAGGAATGACCAGAGAGATCCAGGGCAAAATCCAGCTGGAGCTGGGACTAGAGATAATCAGATCAACAGGAAAGCACATTAGCTGGGGTTCCACTTCCAGTTCTAGTTCTGTTCCAGGAACTGTGCATCTTGTTACGGCACTGCAGGAACGCCCTGTCTCTGCTGGGATGCCGAGCTCTGCGGGAGAAAATGACAACCCACAGATTCGCGCCAGATGGAGAAGAAACCAAGGACATCGAGGGGTCGCAGAGGCCGAACGCGAAGAGTGTTTCAAGAAGCTGACGGTTTTCCTGACTATGGAGAGATCGGTTCAAGAGACGGCAGGATTCCTGGGGGTGGCAACATGGAGGCACTGCTGATGAAGAGGGGCCTTCAGTGGCCTGGGGAGGGCAGTGCCACGTGGAGCAAGCTAAGAAGACACAGGAGAGGTCCTGGAGAAGGCGTTGCATGTATACAGCTCCCTAAGATGCATCAGCCAAGGGAGCAGAGAAGGAAAGTGGGATCTAGAGGGGAAGGTGAGGGAAGAGATTCTCCTTTTCTTTCTTTTTTTTTTTTTGAGACAGAGTCTCACTCTGTCACCCGGGCTGGAGTGCAGTGGCGCGGTCTCAGCTCACTCTGTCGC